CCAGATTCCCATTCTCAGCTGATTGCTGGATCCATCCACAAGAATGGTCCATGGGCATCTCAAAGTCAACCAACATGTCTCAGACTATAGAACACTGGAAAGAATCCAGTATTCGGACTTGGAGTCCAAAGACCTGGATTTGAACACTAGCTTTGTTCTTAGCTGAGTAACTGGGCAAACCACTTAATCTCACTGACCCTCAGTTTTCTCAACCCCCAAATGGACATGCTAATACCCATATCTTTTAATAAAAGCAGAATAATAGATATGAAATTTTGGTAAACTATCTTATGCTTTAAAAGCTTGTTCCTTTTGCAGTGTTCCCTGATGTAAACAGGGAGGTTGGAAGGAGGGGAAGCACCTTCTTTTCCCTTTCCCTTACCAGGGGCAAAGACCACTTGGGTGACCCAATAGGTGAGCGCTGGCCCTCGAAGGACCTCTCCCTCTTTCTGTCCTCACTGCCACTACCCTCCTTTAGGCCTCTTGCATCCCAACTGAGATCCTCCTCTCGGGCTCTAGAGTATCCAAGTTATCCTCCACACTGAAGGTGTTTTCCTCAAATCAAAACTACACTAGACCATTCCTCTTCTCATTTATTACAAGAAATCGGCTGCCTCTAGAATAAAACCCAAACTCCACCCAGCCAAACGGCATCCTGACGACAACTTCCAGCTTCTTAGCATTGCTCGTGCCTCTCTTCATGAAGTGTTCCTCCCTACCACTCTCCAAATAGCAAAGCGTTCTCCTCTTTCTAGGCCATATTCAAATGCTACCCTTTTCCAGCAAGCCTTCCTAACACCCTGTCAGAAGTTACCACTTCTGTCTCTGCACTTCCAAGATTCACTGTTCTTCTATTTGTACTAAATGCATTTTGTCTTGTGTGTTATTTAGGTGTTTATATGTGTGTCTCATGCCAAATTGTGAGCTCTCCAAGTGCTAAGACTGTGACATTATTTTTCTTTTCTGCATACAATAGGTGCCCAACAAAAATTTGTTAAACTGAATCGACTATCACCAGATTTCAATCCTAACATTCAATTATTATCCTGTACTTGGATAGTGATGCTCATACCATTATAATGAAATGACATTCCTTCATTTAAGGAAAAAAGAATAAAAATACTTTCACCAAGAGCTCCGGTTCTGCAGTTACAGTTGCCCATCAACAGTCCCATTCTTACAGTTTATTTATTCATTTGCTCAACATTTTTAGGTGCATGTTATGAGCCTGGTACTGTCATAAGTATTAGATAAAGAGAAATAAGACACTGCAAAAAATAAATAAACAAATTAAAAAGACATCGTTCTCAAGAGCTTGATGTTGTATCAGGGAGACACACAAAAACAGTTATATTACATTTGGATAATATAATAGTAAGGGACATATGAGCGGGTATCATGGGAGAATGGAAGAGGGATGTTCATGATAAACTCTCTTTCTCTTCCAGGACACACAAATAGGTGGCTGGGTGTAGCAGGAGGAACAAGGATAAGACGGGGATCTCAGCTTACTGGCCTGCCACCTTGCCAACTGTTTACCTTTTCCGTTTCTACTCCTTCTGCTGGAAGCTATGAATCATAAGAGAATATATGTGTATATATAGATACATATTTATTGTAAAGAATAAAATAATCTATGTAGAATATATTTTCAAAACTTTACATAAACTACAACTATAAATACAGGTATATATTTTATACAAGTTCTGCTAAGGCATCACTTCCTGCCTTCTTGCCTATTCCCTTAATGGTCTTGTTTTCTTTCATTCACTCCATATCAGAATCTCGAAATCATCTTTGACACCTTCTTCTTCACCCTTCACACCAGTGTCACCAAGTCCTTTCCATCTGCCTTGTACTATTCTTTGCATCCTGGTCTTCCCTTTCCTTTTCATCTTATCACAGCTTCCTACTGTCCTTGACATTAGTGCTTCACATTTGGATTGTGTGACAGAAACTCCTGTCCTGTATCTCAGTTCCATTTCTAAAATTCAGATATCTCTTCTTAAAAGATTGCTTTCTTTATGTCATTCCCCTGCACAAATAAATCCAGTTTTTCCCTCTGCAGAAGAAAGTCCAAACCGTATAGCTTGACACTTAAGGCCTTTGGCATTTTGGTTTTATCTTATTTACCCAAACCCGTAACATTAACTGGACTGGATTTCTCACTGAACAAACATGCCTAAGCCCAAACACACATAACTCATTCTCTCATTTGTTGGTGGAGCCTCTCCTGGTCTGCGGGACCTCATCTAAGGGAGGGAAGAAGTGGATATATAAGTGAAATGCAATTACATTTCTGTGGGACAGGTGAATTTCCCCTCTGGGAATGGCCTCCTTCCTTCTCCATCCTCCAAGACCATGCCTACAGCACACCTCCTCTGTGAGGCTTTCCCTGATTTTACCTCTTCCTGAACACCTATAGCACTCACTCTTGGTACTACTGTAGATAGATCAGTGCTTGTCAAACTTGAGCCACAGCCTCTGAAATTGACTCAGTAGGTCTGGGATTCGGCCAAAGAATTTACATTTCTAACAGGCTCTAATGACAAATTCTGGCGACCTCATTTTGAGTGCCACTGCGATGGATTACCTTGTACCAGCATTCATACTTTCACTTCCACACTAAACTTTTTACAGGCAGAAAACTTATGTTCCAACTCTTTGTGGATCAGCCCCCAAACCCAGTAATTAATTGCATGGCACATAGAAAGTGCTCACTTTTACTTGTTCAGAGTATTTTGCCATCCATATTCTTACATAGTACTTAAAACAGCCCACCAGGCAGGGAGAAAGGGCCTCCTTCTTGCAGACTGTCAGGGAGAGAATCAAAGTCACTGCAGAGCAGAGACTGCTGTCATTGATTCGGGTTTGGAGCATAGGGTAATCCACAGTCCTTTTTTTTTTTTCTTTTTTTTAAATCATTTTTGTTGTTTATCATCTAAAAACCCAGTTTTTAATTTTTTTTTCAAGTAGAATTGAAATAATTCAATATTATTTTATATTCACAGTCCTTCTGACAGTGGTCTCCCTGGCACTGGCTCCTTGGGCTGGTGTTGAACTTTAAGCCCACTTTCCCCTTCTCCTAAAAAGGAGCAGGAAGGTACTGACATTTATTGGGCAATTACTCTGCCCATTTCTGGGCTGGGGGATGTATCACAGAGGTCCAAGGAAGTACAGTAACTGGTCCCTCGGTTCTACACGTGTAAAAAACACAGAGGCCCAAAACACTCGTTTTTATGCTTCATCCCATAGCACAGAAGAGGCAGAAGTGGCTAGACAAGATAAGAGAAAGCAACTTCATATTTACTGGAGCTCAATTACGTGTCCAGGTGCACTGTTCCAGGTGCTTTCGCCTACATAGTCTCATTTAATCCTCACAATTACCTAGCAAAGGAGATCTCATTTCACCCACTTTAAAGAGAGGCAACAGCCTCCGAGGTTATATCCTTTGCCCGAGGCCACATAGCTAAGAAGAGGAAAAACTGGAATTCCTGGTTTGTCTGACCCCAAAGCCCTTGTTGGTTCCACAGCCCTGTTCTGTGTCCATGTCATGGGATCTATGCACAGTTTTCACAGCACATCACGGTCCCAGGTCTCCATGTCCTTTTGATGCCTGACAACACCTGGCATCCTGGTGACCATGCAGCTGGGGGTCTAGATTCAGAAAATGTCCTCAAACTGAGGACTGATTTGAGACTGTTTCTGGGGAAGCTATGGTGCACAAGAAAGAGAAGGGATAAGTAGGGGGAGACCAGAGACTTGGATCAGCCGGGAGGCAGGAGGACTGGATGGCAGGGACCTAGGAAGGCTTGCTTCCATCAGGTAATTGGGAGGTGGAGGCTTGTAAGAGCTGTCCAGGGAAGTGTAGCTGTTCCTATACATAAACACACTTGTACCTTCACAGACCCTACCAAGGACAGGAGTCCTGGACAGAGATCCAGAGAAGGAGAGTGGCTCACAGAGATGGGCAGGCTCAGGTTCAAGGTGACACACACCAGCACTCACAGAACCGTCCTGGCACCCATGCCCAGATACCCACAAAGGAGACAAATGTGCATAGAGGTCAGCCACGGCACCCCATGGAGGGCTGCTCATGCCCACGCTCCCATGCACCCACAGAGGTGCAGAGGGTGCAACCTCCACCAGCCACCTTGGAGGTACCCTGGAGGACTATAAGGAAGGATGGAAAGAGCTAGCAGTATTTTCACCATCATGGCCATTTCCATCCCTGCTCCCCCCAGCACCTATATCAGCTCATGGAAGGAGTCTCATTCTTAGAAGAGGGTACTGGCTCCTTTGCTGCAATTTGTCCTTTCTCCAGGCTCAGTTCAGTCCCCTCTGGCCTGTGTTCAGAGGCTTGGAGGCATGGAGCAGGGGAGGGACTGGAGTGCAGATGCAAAGAGGTGAGGGTGGAGGAGGAGGGAGGGGCTGATGAAGGCAAGAGTTTGTCCAGGGCTTCTGGGCTAGACTGAAGGTCAGAGGAGCTCAGACACCTTACTTTGCTGTCCATGTAGCAGTCCAGACAGTGGGAGAAAGGGCCTGACCCAACTCATGCCAGGATTCCTTGGTCTTCAAGGTGCCAGGAATTATGGTGGGAACCACAGTTCCAGGAACAGCAGAGGAGGGGATAGGGTTGGGTGACCAAGATCTGGAGTGGTGGGGTTGGTGGACTCAGGCTTGGCCAGGGCTGACACCTGTTCATAGTGCCCCCTATGGCTTGGACCCTTCCCCAGGTCAGGTTCTCTGCACCGAAGTGTCTCTCTTGCCCTGAATCCTTACTGAGGGGAGGCTGGGAAGCCTGTGAGGGGAAGGGAGGCGGGAAAGGGGAGCTTTGGGAATGATTGTTACCAATATGATCCCAGAGGAAAGGATTGGGAGAGGGTCTCTCCTGCCCACACCATCCAGCCCACTTTAGCAGGAGCCAGCATGCTGCATTCCCAGCCTGTTCTCACTCTGCTCATGCAGGAAGAAGGGTAGGGCTAGCCTGACGACCTTACCGTCTGTGGGGGGCTGCCCACGGTCATCTCCACGTAGTAGCCCTGACCGGACTTGCCCCTCAGGTTGTCCACCATCTCTACAAAACTGCCCCTCCGGCCAGGATCCTCCGGCTCCTCGTCAGTGTCCCGGGGCAGCCTCAGTCCCAGCGGAGTCCCCCCAATCCCACTCCGCAGAGGCAGCCTGATGCCAGGCTGAGTGCAGTGGGCAGGCAGCACTGCTGAGCCCATCCACAGCAGGAGCCAGGGCAGTGCTTGGGCCATAGTGGGCCCTGGCCTTCTGGCCCGCGGGACTCACTTGGGCCCACGTCTGTCCCTGTTGTTTGCCCCCAACTCTGGTGGTGGCTTCTCAGGAGAGAGAGGTGTGCGGCATCAGGGCTCCAGAGTCTGCAGGCCCCTGAGCCAGTCCCGGGTCCAGGCTGTGGGTATCCGGCAGGAGCAATCCGCAGAGAGGGAGAAGGTGAAGAGACAGATAACTGGTTACATCTGGCCAGCGGCGTCCAGCCTCAGCACAGGTCTGGGAGAGGATGGCTTGGGACCTCCGGGCGGCTGGGCGGGGCGGGCATGGCAGGTCGGCAGCGACTGGTTTCCCTGTCCTCCCGGCAGGTCAGCAGCGGGGGAAGAAGCAAGGCTCCGGGCTCCTGCAGCTGCGTTTGCTGGTTAGGCCACCATAATCCAGCTCCCAGCTCTCAGGCAGGCTGGGGAGGCGGAAAGACTTGTGGCGGCGGCTGTCAAAGCCAAGGGTTTTCGCTGTTCCCTGGGATCGCTGGGAAGTGTAGTCTTCCCTGGGCAGGCAGCCCAGCTTCCGGCGCTGGTGAGGGGTCTGGGATGCCCTCTGCCGAGTCGGAGTCCACCCTGCAGGACCCTGGTGAGCAAGGTTGCCTTGTCCCTCGCAGTATGGGAAGGGCCATTAGAGTCGAGTGTCAGCAGACCGCTCATTCTGTCTGTCCATCCTTCATTCTGGCATCCACTGTATGCCAGGCATTCTGCCAGGCACTGGGGCTACAGAGAGAAATAAAATGCACATGAACCAAACAAAATGATGTGGCCCTAAGGAGTAGGGGTTTGGGGGGACCCCTGGGAGATTTGAGAAGACTCAGTGAAGGAAGTGGTGATATTTAATAAGAGCCTTAAAGAATGGGTGGAATTTCCACGAGCACTGGAGCCTGCAATCTGTGGCCAGATGAGAGCCAGTTGGGTCTTCTCTCGGAATCTTTCTGTGTCTTTGATGCTCTACCTGCCCTCCACTTCACTGCAGATGCTGTGACTTCTCATGACCTTTCTGATTTCTGTGCTGTCAGTCACACTAAAGGTAAATGGCTGTTGTCAGCTTTAAAGTGTTATCACTCCAAGAAATATCTCTATATTAATTGGTAAGAGCTTAAAGTGAAAAGCTTTAGAGCTCTAATAGCTTAAGAGAGAAAAGCCATGTGATTATATCAACATATTATTTATCAAATGTGGAAAGCTGTTGTTAAAATTCAGCAGTCATTCTGATGAAAACTACAGGGAAACTTCTTAAATAAGGTAACAAAATCGCAGAAAACATAATAGTAACAGGCAAAAGTTATTTCCATCAAAGTCAGGCTCAGGAAAGGAAAGGACATTATCACTGCTCTTACCCCACATGGTTAGGTCAGTCTAGCTAACTCAGTAAGATGAGGAAATGAAACAAGTGCTATAAATATTAGAAGCAAAAGAATCATTATTTGCAGATTATATGATAGGACAGAAAATCCTAATCAATAAACTGATTAGGCACAAGTTAAAAATAAAAATTGATAGATTAGTGTATGTATGGGAATTTTGTATATGATAAAGCTGGCATTCATATCAGAAAAAATACGTTATTCAATAACTGTTGTTGGGACAACTGGCTATCCATTTGGAAGGAAAGAAAACCCCTATCTCAGATAGTTCAAAGAGCTTAACATTAAAAATAAAACTATTGGAAAAATAGAAGAATATGTTAATAATCTTATGTTGAAGAATGTCTCTCTAACAAAAGTAAAAGATGTATTTTTTTAAATGGGCAGGCTTAAATACTTAAATTTTGAACACTTCTGTAGAATCAGACTTCCGGTATTCCAATTACAGTTCTGCCACTTAGTAACTGAGAGAGCCCAGGCTAATTACTTGTCCTTTCAGTGTATCAATTTTCTCATTTGTAAAAAAAGAACAACAGTACATACCTTGTAATGTATGAATTAAAAGAGATAACCCATGTAAATCACAAACAACGGTGTCTGGCATATTGTAAATGCTTAATAAAGGTTAGCTATTAGTGTTATTAGCATTATAATTTCTGAGAAAAATGACATTGACAAAGTTAAAAGATAAGTCACAGACTAGTAGACATTTGTTACACAATAAAGAGACGAAAAATAAATGTCTATAATATATAAAGAGCTTCTACAAGTCAATAAAACCCCCATAACTTGGTAGAAAAATAACAAAGGAACAGGTAACTCACAGAAATTCAAATGGCCAATAAACATATGAAAAAAACTTGACTTTATTAAAAGTAAAAGAATGTAATTAAAACAACATTTAGATACCATTATCATTATTTTTTTGCTTCTCATAATGGTAGTATTTGGTGTTGGTGAAGGTGTTGATTGGACTGTAAATTATTCCATTTTTAGAGAGAAATTTGTCAATGTCTATTAAAATGTAAAAAAAATAAACTTTTTGAGCAATATTAATTTTAGGATCTTATCCAACAAAAATAACAGTAATTTTGCATTGTGTACAATATCGAAACTGGAAACAAAAGAAATGATTATCAGTAAGGGAATGAGACATTCATTCAACTGAATCCTGCTTAACCATTGTAAAGAATGGAGTAACTTCTTTCGAACTCACCTTGGAAGATGTTTATGACATATTAAATGAAAAAAGCAAATTGTAGAACAATATGTACATTATGGTCCCATTTCTGTAAAAATTAAAAAGTATACACTTGTGCATATATATCTATACATATAAATTTACATCTGCATAAGCATTAAAATTCTGGTAGATAGGAACCAAAATGTCAACAGTAGTTTTCTCTGAAGTGTCGGATTCATTCCTTCCTTTGTCTGCTCATTCATTCATTCACTCAGCAAATGTCTATTGAGTGCCTACTACGTGCTAAGCACTGTTTTAGCATTGTGGATACAACAATAAGTAAAGTGGACAAAATTCCTGTCCTCATGCTGCTTACATTCTAATATAGGAATACAGACAATAAAGAAATAAAATATACAGTATTTCAGATGGTAATATGTGGTATGGAGAAAAATAAAGCAGAGGAGGGAGATGCAAGGGCAGTTTGCAATTTTAAATAAGGTGGATTGAAAGCACAGAGGGAATATATCACATCTTTATATAATTTTTTTAAATGATAGAATTAACGAGTGTTTTTCTTTCTTATTGTGTGGGTGATTTTCTGTATATTAAAAGTAAACAGTATGAAAAGAGAAGAAATATTTTAATAGTGGAATTTCTGACCTGGAAGTAAATCATAAAATCTGGGACCGATTTGTTTTTTTCCTCCTCCATCCTTGAAAAACCACCCCTAAGTGGTCATCCCTGACTGCAGAAGATAAATACAGTATGTGAAATTCTCAGCCTCTCTTCCTCACTCATTGGGCATATTACTGGTACATCAATTGGTGCATCGTTTTAGTTATTTACCCCCTGCCCCAAAGACTTGCTTTCTTAATTATTTTTGTCTACAAGCATTTAAAAACTGGTTTGCATTTCTGAGTATAAACCTATAGGGAAACCTGATAAAATGTGCATTGCTTATCCGTATGGATAATCCCACTAATCTCATAGTGATCCTCATTTTATTAGGTCTTCTTTTGAGAGAGCAAGAGACCCATGCTGAAGGACAACAGTTAAGAATTTTGATGGCTATTAAAGTTAACCAGATTGATTGCAAGTTCTTGGACATAGGGACCAAGTCTACAAATGGGTTTTCGAATCTGTTTTGTGCAAAGTCTATGATAGATGAACTGGTGAGCCCTTAGAGGTTATTTGGCCTGGTCCCTTTGGCCTCTTTGTGAGACTTTTAAGGAGCATAAAGAGGAAAGAGGAGCGATGATTTGTCATCTGCAGGCAGACGGAAGGAACTAGAGGCAGACCTGCCACAGAAGGATTTAAAGTTAAACATGATGACTGCATTCTGGATATCTAGTTTGGGATCTACAGGGAGAATAATCTGATTTCCTCATTCTGGGACCAGCCCAGAGTGGTGCTGGGATTAGTTTCAGGAGTTAGGAGCCAGATACTTTTCCACAACGGAATTGATCAAGAGCTTCTCCAGGTGCTCCACTCCCCTTTTCAACTAGTAGCATCTCTTAAATTTACTGTTCTCGTTTTCCCACTGATGTAAAGTCCAGAGCTGTTTTTGCCACTCTTAACTTTTCCAGGAGTTGAAGATGTATGAGAGAAAGGAAGATTTGCCTTCTGCGTAAGCAAAACTGAAGCTCTTTGGAATTGTATTAGTAGCAACCCTTCTGCCAAACAGGGTGTGTGGCGGGGCTACACATTGTGCCACTTTTTTTCTTCTTAAACAGACTCTTTGATATATTATTATCCCCATCTTGCAGATGTGCAAACTGAGCCCTGTGCTCTGGTGAAAAGATGACTAGAAACTAGTCTCTTAACTCCTGGTCAGGTGCTCGTTGATTTAATCAGAGCACGGGGGAGCCGGTTTTTTTTTTTGGAGGGGTGTCTCTTTACCTTACATTCACATTTCTTTTGTTTATTTAAAGCTTCAGTGGGTTGATTATTGATGATCAGTGTATTATTCACCTGATATTAATCGCACTACTAAAAAATGATAAGCAATAAATTGCCTTAGTTAATTCACGTTACTGTAAAGGCTGTGAATGGTACTTTCCTGCCTGGGAAGAAATTCTCATATCTAAATTCAGAGCTCTCTTTTAATTCCTTGAGGACCCCTCATCAACTGTCTTGGACTACATCTCCCGTTGGGCAGAACGCCTTGGTGATCCGACGGGACATCTAACCAATCCAATTACAGAGCTCTCATTCAGTAACCTATTGATTCCGGGTAGAGGCGGGACTTTCAGTTGCTAAGTTGGTACCCTTTCCGGAAGTGGTTGTTGGCCGCTGCAGGGCAACACCCCGGCGTCCCTGGAAGCGGGGAGCCGGGGTGGTGCTGGGGAAGCTGCGCAGTTCCCGGAGCCCTCTAGCTCAGAGCCTCCCAGGGTCGGGGACAGGTGAGGATGTCCCTGAGGGAGTGGTTGGGAGGTGGTGGGGAAAGGAAGGAAGAGGGAGAGTCGAGGCACTCGTGTGCCAACGAGCGGGATGTGCACGAGTGTGGGCGGGAACTGAAGGAAAAAGTGAAAAAGGAGAGACCGGACTACAGTGCATCTATCCAAAATCTCTGAGTGGCGGAAGGGGCCATGGTGCTGGCGAAGGAGTGACCGCGGGCAGTGTGTGAGCTTGCTGAGGCGCTCGTTTATTTGTCCCGTCCACAGTGTGTAAGGCCCGGCCTTCGAACATTACTTGAATATTTCTCTTGTGGGGAAGCTTCCTCCAGGTCGGAATTTAGGGTTAGCAGACCCTCTGCCGTCTTTTGCAGCAGGGAAGTTAGAAAGGTTTTGTTTTTCACTTTCTTTACATTCTTTAAAATCTACCGTCTCCACCTGGAACCGCTGTCCTCTCTTGGCTTCCAAGATTACTTTCTCTTGGT